AGGCTCACATGTTAGTTGCTCTTTATATACTTATATGGGTTCATGCATCACACTTTGTCACTGTTAAATAAGCATGATAGGCTAGATTTGCACAAAATGCTAAGCCAAATGAAACATATTGTAGCTTAGTATTATGTATAAACCAGGTTTGAATAGAGGGAAAAGCAAAGGATCTTTCAGAAGTAATTTGCTATAAAAGCTAATCTTTCCCAACCTGATGCCTCCAAGAGGCATGGAACTAATGTTCTTTTCACTCTCAACCAAGTGACTGGGGATAATGGGATTTGCAGTCAGTACTGGTAAAACTAGAGCACACCAATTAGAGATTTTAGCTGCCAAAATTCTTTAATAATTTCAAAAACTCGTCTGCAACTTTTCCCTAAAGCCGCTCAGTAAGGATAGAAGTCTGATCTCTACAGGAAGATTGTTCCAGAAGATTGTCATTGCTTCCTGGCTTCAGCTCCTAGAAGCAATTGCTTCCTAGATGAACAGGCTGATTCAGGTTGGGGGAGGCAGTCCTGTAGGTATCCAAGGGACAAGTCATAAAAGGACTTTATAGATCAAAGCCAGCCCTTTAAATTATAAATAAATAAAAGAGGTAGTATCGAGTATATTTGCTATCTTGAGTTATGTATAAAAAGGACAGGATAAACCCACATACACATAGAATATGGAAATAGGTAAGTCCTGGAAGCTTATTGATGGCCAGCACAAGGTTCTGTTTAGTTAGCTGGATCACTGAGATCCCAATAGCAAAGATTTTCTCCTTAAAACATTTCTAGATCCTTTTACAGACTATTTCTGTTGATAGCTACTGTAAGCAGGGAAGTCTAGTTTCTTCCAAAGAATTAATGATATTGCAGCAGTGATAAGACACTGCCATCTACTGGTAATTAAGAGAACTGTGCAATTTATTCTCAACTTTTTTGACAATACCATCTAGAGCAGTGATGGCTAACCTTTTTGTTGTTGTATGCTGAAATAATGCAAGGCACGTGCTCCCCCACCCCCTGCGCATGCGTCTCCCACATGCGCCCCACCCCCTGCTCATGCGCAGCAGATACCTGAAAATTGGCTGGCATGCACAGTAAAACTGAGCGCATGCACAGTAAAACTGAGCTGGGGCGACGGCTTGCGTGCCAGCAGAGGTGGCTCTGCGTGCCACTTCTGGCGCATGTGCCGTAGGTTCACCATCACAGATCTAGAGAGAATCTAGCAGTTCAAGAAGGCTAACAAAAGTCAGACTTCTGTGAGGTTTCCTCCTCGCTAATCATACAATGATACTGTGGGAAGACAGCAAGTTGTAGAATCCTAGCAGAGTTTAATGGCTTTTTCTGTCCTTTGATAACTTGGGAATGGATAAAGCAACTCCAGTCTGTTTTTAAGGCAAACAAAGCCTGGGTGTGAGGGGTGGGTTCATAGTTTTCTTTGATGATTGGGGGAGCACGTTTAATTGCTCCTTTAAGACTGGTTTATTGTATTGTATGTGAATTGGATTATATATAAAAAGCTGCCATGGAATAAATTTAATTTTAAAATAGGTAAATTCCATTTTAATATAAACTGGTCCTTTAATAATACTGTTTTGAATTGACTCCAGCCTTTTTTTTTTCCTTTGTTCAATTTATCCCAGGGATTCTTGAAGTTTGATTCACACATTTCCTATTCAGTCTATTTTGACCAGAGGCAATTGCTACTGATATTTCTGAAGCCTCACAATGATCAGAGGTTTTGTGGAATTATAACATTTGGGTTACAAAATGCTTGGTTTCTTTCCCGGTACCTTCAGCATATTTAATGAGTTGGTTGCAACTACTTTATTATGGGGGATGAAACACAAGTTTTAAAACATCAATTCTTTTGGTGTTGATTTTCATATTACTGCCACTTGGGGGGACTAAAATCAAAAGAATTATTTATTTGATTCGGGATTAATCACTTGTGTTAAAATTACAAATATTCTTTGCAGTTATTTCTTCAAGATTTGGAATCAAGATTTATGGATCTTTTTCAACATGGGGCTCACTAAAAGAAATAGAAACCTATCAAACTGAGATAAAGAAATCTATACTGATTTGCAGCAATGGATTGTTGTTGTGTTACTTGACAAAAATTTGACATACGTAAATCCTCATTAATCTTGGACCTCTATGTACCAAGCTGAGAGTGAAAGGAAGGCAGCTTGCACATGGACTAGGTCCTGGGAGGTTGTAAAGACCCAGTTGTGGCCCTGGCCTGTGTGATTTTGTGGCCCTGGCCTGTGTGATTTAGGTGATATACGCTGCTCCCAACCCCACATTGTTACTGTTGTCAGCAGAATATTAAAATAATATAGTATACGTATACCTGGCTCA